TGCAATAAGCATGTGTCCCTTTCCCCCCCCCCCTCCCCCCATTCCCTGATAGGATCACTGCACATCAGCAACCCAAAGCTGGCCCTGAGACCTCAGTAGGATTTGCACAAGTGAATTTCAGCCTTCAAGTAATCCGTCATCCAGCCAAGCTCATAATCAAGCATTTTGTCTGTACCCTGATTTTAAAAAATAGCATCCTGAAGTGGTTTTGCTTAGAAACAAATATAATCTGCTAATGTTTAAACAAACATATCTGAAGATCTAGGATCACAATGGGTGTATCGTTTCCTGAAAGGGATGGGACCTCAAGGATGAGAGGGAGTGCAAAGTGATTCTATCTGTGGCTCTTCTTTTAAAAGGGCGTTCCTCAATCTGCTGTCCCCCCCCCCTTCGTTTGGTTAGGACTACGCAGGAAGAAAGATGGGAACTGAGATCCAAAATTTCAGGAGGTCATTAGGTTAGAGAAAAGTGTCTTAAGAAAGTTTGGATGTTGCAGAGTTTTTCCAATGTCTCTGGGCCTTAATCTCTCTCCTCACATAGTCTCCTCCCTGCCTTTTCCCACGGAGTCCCTAGATGTCATTTTGGTATTACAAAGAATTAAAAGCAGTTATAAATAAGGAGTCTGGAAAACCAGAAGGCCTCCAAAGGATGATTTTGAGAGGGCAACTGAAGATCATCTATCTCCTCACTGTCAGTCTCTACGCTTAAAGGACTCACTGCCTCCCTCAACTGATACAGTTTTCACTTTTATGCCAGGAAACTGAAAACACATTCTTAGTTGATCAGCAAATGTGAGAAAAGTGAGTTGTTAGACTGGTTGGTGTTGAGGTCCACCAGAAGACTTTCAACCTTCCCGTTGCTGTTCTCATCATCATCTCCGCTCCTGAAGACAGCATCTCCTTCTGCTTCCCAGCAACCTTCGGCTAGGCCTAGGCGATGTAGGGGTGAAGCATCCTCAGGGTCTGATTGTTCAACGCTGGGCCTCTCCCTTAGGACCGCTTCCTCACTGGCATCCTCACCAGATGGGCTCTCCTCCTCACCACTGGTCTCACTGCCTCTTGGTCCCGAGTTGGCCTGTGGGATTCCTTCAATGGCTGCATCTGTGCCATCTTCTGGCTCAGAATCCGAATCGATAAAGGGAGTGTCCGGTTCTAGGAAGAAAAGAAAAATGAATCCATTTGAATCGAGTCCAACCCCCTGCTCAGGCAGGAACCCTACACCATTTCAGACAAATGGCTGTCCAGTCTCTTCTTAAAAACTTCCAGTGTTGGAGCATTCACCACTTCTGGAGGCAGGTTGTTCCACTGGTTAATTGTTCTGTCAGGAAGTTTCTCCTTAGTTCTAGGTTGCTTCTCTCCTTGATTAGTTTCCATCCATTGCTTCTCGTCCTGCCTTCAGGCGCCTTGGAGAATAGCTTGACTCCCTCTTCTTTGTGGCAGCCTCTGAGATATTGGAACACTGCTATCATGTCCCCCCTCGTCCTTCTCTTTGTTAAACTAGACATACCCAATTCCAGCAACCGTTCCTTATATGTTTTAGCCTCCAGTCCCCTAATCATCTTTGTTGCTCTTCTCTGTACTCTTTCTAGAAGGCCCTGATGGCCTCCAGCTTAGAAACATTCTGATGTAGAAACATTCCAGCTTAGGATCCTTTTTTGGGGGAGGAAATGTTTGAGGTTTAATCCTTAGGTCTATATCCACCGTTTCCTAAGGGAAGGAAGACAGTCTGGCGACATTCTTTGGTGATCAACAATAAAGAAACTTATTTGACCCATTCTTGGAACTGTTCTGGTTGCTTGAACCTGACATACACCCCTTTTTAGCCCTGCAATTTCTGCCTCTTTTCACTAGTGCCAAACGAGCCTTGAAAGAACATTGCCCCTTGCAAGAATAACATGTCAAACATTAAAATGTGAGATTCCACCTCACCTCTGAAGGAATCTTCATCAAGAGCAGCTTCTGTCTGCTCAGAGGTTGCTTCAAGATACTGGACTTCACTGTCGGGTTGTGTTCCTTCAGCCTCCTGGATATGTGAGAGAGGTTAACTTTGTAAGGTGGGAGGACATTGATCAAAAAGTTACCACTGGCAACCACAGCGTCTCCAGCAGGTTCTACTCACCTGGTTCCTAACCAGCTCTTCAGCTTCCCTGATCGTTTCTTCTGTGCCATCTGGAGATACGCCATTGGACTCAAAGATAGTAGCATAGAAATTTATGAGTGCCTCAACAATGCATGCCTGGTGGGGGTAATCCACCAAGGAAGAGAGGGAGATGGTAGCTTGGGTGGGTCGAGGACGCATTAATGTGGGGCCAAAGACAATTCCCAGGTTGCTAGAAGACATTTTATTGTCATCTTCAAGTTCTATAATCCTAGAACAGAATTGGACAAAGAGATGCATGCAGGTTCTCTGTCTGATTTTAGTTATCAAAGCTTTATATTGTATAAACAGCTGCTTTATACATTTATATATTTTTTGTAATGTCACCACATTACAAAAAAGATGTTGAGACTTTGGAAAAAGTGCAGAGAAGAGCAACTAAGACGATTAAAGGCCTGGAGACTAAAACATATGAGGAACGGTTGCAGGAACTGGGTATGGCTAGTCTAGAGAAAAGAAGGACTGGGGGGGGGGGGACATGATAGCAGTTGTAAGTCACTTTTTTCAGTGCCTTTGTAACTTTGAATGGCCACTAAATGAAAGGTTGCAAACTGAGGACTACTTGTAGTCATTTTCCTGACCCAATTTTGCCAGGTAAAGCAACTGACCTTTTCAGGTGCTGCACGATACACTTCAAGGTGGCAAAGTTCTTGGCTGGAAGTTCTTTTAGCAGCTCGTTCAGCTTTGTTACCATAGCTTTCTCTGACTCACTGCTCGTGTCCACTGGCTCCCCAGTGCTTCTCCCTGCCCTGCTGTCGGACCGACTCTGCAAGGTCTCCTTGGCCAGCCCCATAAGGCTGTTGTACATCCGGAAGGGCATGATTGGTTCTGGGAGCTGAAAAGAGTGAGAGTCACAGGAAACTAGCATCTAGAAATCACATGGCATGCCAGCTTACTTACGAAACAATACCCAAGAACCTGGATGCTGGCTCAAACCACATCACACTTCCCAGATGTGTTTAGGAAGCCCATCAGCTGAATTTGAAAGCAACAGTTTTTGATGCTGCTTTGAACTTGGGAGATCCACCAAACATAGAACTCTTCTGCAAATTATTTCACTCTCTTTTAAAGGGTGCCATGGTGGCATCTAATGGCAGTGAATTTTATAGGTTTACCCCTACTGAGGTTTACCCACATACCCAACTGAGAGCCAGTTTGGTGTAGCGGTTAAGGTGCTGGCCTAGAACAAGGAGACAATGAATCTTAGTCCCACCCTTAGGCATGAAAGCCGGCTGGGTGACTTTGGGCCAGTCACTCTCCCTCAGCCCAATCAACCACACAGGGTTGTTGTTGTTGTTGTTGTTGTTGTTGTTGTTGTTGTGGGGAAAATAGGTGGAGGAAGGAACCTTATGTATGTTCATTGCCTTCAGTTATTTATAAAAATAATAAAGGTAGGATACAAATCTAATAAATCAGGGGTCTTCAAACTGGACCCTTTTATGACTTGTGGACTTCAACTCCCAGAATTCCTCAGCCAGTGTGCCTGGCTGAGGAATTCTGGGAGCTGAAGTCCACAAATCATAAAAGGGCCAAGTTTGAAGACCCCTGTAATAAATAAACAAAATGTATTTCGGAAGGAGTCAGGGAGCACCTTTTCCAACTAACATATTTTATTAAAAGACATCAGCTCCTATGACCAGCAGCTCTATTCCGTATCTCAAATGTCCCGAGTGGCTAATCTGATGCAGAATTTATTTATTAAATTTATATGCTCAGGCATCACAGTTCGAGGCAGTCTGGCCAGCTTATTTAACTTACAACTTAACCTGAGTAAGGGGGAAAGTGGAGGAAAAATATATTTATACATTTGGAGGCTGTTAGCACATCGCTGTGAATCCATTTCACTGGATTAATCTTGGTTAACCAAAGGAAAGGCAGAAAAAAATTCCATCCATATTTTCCACACCATTAACATAACAACATTTCTATGTTAACAGGGTACTCTCCTCCTCCTCCTCCTCCTCCTCCTCCTCTTCTGTCTTCTGGGCTAAAAAGCTCCTGGTCTTTCAATGGTAAGGCACGTGCTCCACCTCTCCAAAGATTTCAATCACTCTGGGCAGCCTCACCTGGCGAAGGTAGAGCTTCAGCACGTTGCTGATGTCGTGTGGTAAGGCCTGAGACAGCTCAACCAGCTCTTTCCCGTTCTCAAAAGCCTGACAGAGCTTCTCCACGCGGGATTTCACTCCATTAACACGGTAGATGCCCTAAGGAAGACAGAAAGAAGTATTGACCGGACCAACTGTTGCCATATTGACTTTTTTGACCTAGTCCCTCCCCCGGATGTGCTTGTTTCAGGGATGCTCACGATGTAGATAGAAAAAGTGAGCACGGTAATTATAATGGTGTGATTGAAGCTCTGCCTGTTTTTTTATGTGCGTCCCACACAGTTTCGCTCCCACCCCTCTGTCACCTTGAAAAAAAATATGACAACCATGCCATGCTTTTACAACAGAAGCGTGCAGCCTTTTTACAGGGTTGCATGCCAAAAGTGGACAGGAAGAGAGCAAAACGTAACTTTGCTTCCCTTTAATTTAATGGCTCATAGAATTATTCCCCATGTATTCCTCCTTTCTATCACATGACAGATCACAGTTAAACACAGCTTGTTTTTACTCTCTTTAGCACAGGGGTCTTCAAACTTGGCCCTTTTGTGACTTGTGGACTTCAATTCCCAGAATTCTTCAGCCAGCGTGCTTGGCTGAGGAATTCTGGGAGTTGAAGTCCACAAGTCACAAAAGGGCCAAGTTTGAAGACCCTTGCTTTAGCACATCTGTTGGAGGCCTTACGCCAGGGTTTCCCAATCTTGGCCACTTTAAGAGATGTGGACTTCAACTCCCAGAAGCTATGGCTGGCTGGGGAATTCTGGGAGTTGAAGTCCATGCCTCTTAAAGTGGCCAAGATTGGGAAACCCCAGCTTACAGCAAAACAGAGCAGAGCAAAGCTCCGCCCAGATTCCTTTGCAGTGTTTTTTTGCTGTGAAATTTCGGCTTGTCCTTGACTGCCCCAGTCTTCAAAGATGAGGGCTCATCAACTTAACCACTGGGTTTGCTAGCTTGATGGCACCATTCCCAGGCTCCGAGGCAGAGGAATGTCTTCCCCGCTGTAAATAAATTTCTTTCATTACAGGTGCTCCGCCTCTTACTTTTGTTTTCATGGCCCGCCTTTCAATCTCGCTGATGCACTTCTTGACGATGAAGGGGACGCCATCAGAGCCGGTGTGGGAAGCCTGCGCAAAGTCCCGCCCAAAGAGCTGCAGTTTGCCTTGAAGTTTCTTGTGTCCGCACTGGATGGCCAGAGTCTCCAGGCATTTCTTGTGACAGGCTAAGTAACACTGGGGAAGAGGGGGGGAAGAGGCAGAGAGAGAGGGGGGGGGGGAATGAAACAGCTGTACAGTTAGGGACTTTGTCTCATAGGTGCTTTTTCCTCACGAAACGTGTTCAAAGAAAAACAAGAAAGTCCAGTTGCCTCCTGAAAAAACACCTTTGGGACAACCATGACCTGGATGACTGAAAATCTCCGTAGACCAGGGGTCTTCGAACTTGGCCCTTTTAAGACTTGTGGACTTCAACTCCCAGAATTCCTCAGCCAGGCACGCTGGCTGAGGAATTCTGGGAGTTGAAGTCCACAAATCATAAAAGGGCCAAGTTTGAAGACCTCTGGCGTAGACATTTAGTTAGGGACTTTGTGCAATTTCAGAAAGAGCCACTGGATGGCAATAGGTCATCAACAAGCCCTTTTTTGTCGTTAGCGTTTCCCAAGGCAGGCTGAGGAATTGTGGAAGTTGAAATCCACCCAGCTGAAAGTTGCAGAGATCAAGAAACACTGTAATTAATAAAAGTAGTCCTTGACTTTCAGCCATTCGTTTAGTGATCGTTCAAAGTTACCATGGCACTGAAAAAAGTGATTTATTACACCTATGACTCTTGCAGCATCCTTGTGCCACATGATCAAAATTAGGACACTTGGCAACTGACTCGTATTTATGACGATTTGCAGCGTCCTGGAGTCGTATGAACACTTTTTGCAACCCTCTGACAAGCAAAGTCAATGGAAAACTGTGTGGCTTAACTTAATGACCTCAGTGATTCACTTAACAAATGTGGCAAAAAAGGTTGACTCAGGAATTCTGGGAGTTGAAGTCCAGGAGTCATAAAAGGGGCAAGTTTGAAGACCCCTGCTCTTAATCTTTGTCCTAGGACAGGGGTAGGCAACCTTGGCTTTTTTATGACTTGTGGACTTCAACTCCCAGAATTCCTGAGCCAGCATGGCTCAGCTTGGAAACCTCTCCCTTTCCCCTTAGCATGGCTGGCTCAGGAATTCTGGGAGTTGAAGTCCACGAGTCATAAAAGAGCCAAGGTTGCCTACCCCTGCCTTAGCCCAAGTACCTGTCCTACCTCTTCACATTCAGCTCCCTGGAAGTAGACGTAACTGTTGCACTCCCGGCACTTGGAGGGGGTCCGCAGCTTCCTCAGCCGGTGGGTCTGGGCAGCCCTGGACAAGCTGATATGCCGGAAAGGGCCGGTGGATGTAGAGATTCCTGGAGTCATTTCATTAATACCTGGTAATCAGAAATAAAAAAGGCGATACTGAAACACCATCAAAATATGCAGTTTATTATTAGATTTATTGTTAGTTTTATCCTGCCTTTATTATTTTTTTAGTAAGTAACTCAAGGTGGCAGACATACCTAATACTCCTTCCTCTTCCTATTTTCCCTCCAACAGCAACAACCCTGTGAGGTGGGTTGGGCTGAAAGAGAGTGACTGGCCCAGAGTCACCCAGTTGGCTTTCATCTGTAAGGTGGGACTAGAATTCACAGCCGCCCGGTTTCTAGGCAAATATCTTAACCACTACACCAAACTAGCTCAGTTGCATCTCTCAATCTTGGCAACTTGAAGATGGGTGGTGGACTTCATCTCCCAGAATTCCCCAGCCACCACACGCTGAAGGTCCTTTCCCACTCTATGGTGTATATGTGAATGGTAACATTGCATCAAAATTGCTTTTTTGTTCTGTTTTGTTTCTTTTTATTTGATTATAAGATTCTGGAGGGGGAGGAGCCAAATGAACTAAAAGTTAAGAGTTGTATACAATGCATAGCATTCTGGGACAAAATGCAGAACTAAAAAGACAAAGCAAATGTAGGATTTAGGCCTTTTTTCTGACCTGTTGGAAGGAAAAAAAATAAATAAGGACCTGCTCCTTATTATCCTTTGCTGGGAATCTCCATCCCAGTGTTTCTCCATTCTTAGCAACATTAAAATGGGTGAACTGGGAGTTGAAGTCCACCAATCTTAAAGTTGCAAAGGTTGAGAAACACTTGCTTCAGCCTCTAGTTGTAGATCTAGTATTCTATTCCACTAATACAGGGCTTTTCAACCAGTGGTACGGGTACCACCTGTGGTACATTGGCACCTGGCAGGTGGTACATGACCATCCTAGAAAAGTGGTATCGGGGGAGGGGAATGAGCTGAACTGGTGGCAGCACTACACAAGCCTGACCGAGAGATGGCTGGAGCTGCAGGGCTGTCAGGGCTCAGCGGAAGCGCCAGGATCAGCACTTCTTCGGGACTGTCAGGGCTCAGTGCCAGGCTCCAGCTGGAGCTCAGTGCTGATCCTGGTGCTTCTGCTGAGCCCAGAAGAAGCGCTGATCAGTGCCAGGATCAGTGCCAGGCTCCAGCTGGAGCTCGGTGCTGATCCTGGTGCTTCTGCTGAGCCCAGAAGAAGCGCTGATCAGCTGGAATGTTGCAGCATCTCCAGGATCTTGTGATTTACATTCAGATGCTTGGCAACTGATTCATATTTATGACGGTCACAGTATCCCAGGGTCATGTGAAGTGACCAAAACATGCTGCAACCACCCAGCAGACGCGGGGGGGGGGGGAATAAAAACCAAACACCCCCCACCCCACTCCTGCTGCCAATCCTCAACAGAAATGCTCACAACAATGAAAACCTCGGACAGGAGGAAGAGCGCCGCTGGACGGGCAGGCAGGTAGGCAGGTGTCTTGCTCGGCTGTGTCTTGGGGGGCACTTTTTTCAGTGCCATTGTAACTTCAAACAGTCACTAAGCGAACTGTTGTAAGTCAAGGACTACCTATACTTCATCACTTTTTTCCTTTTTGGGGGGGCGGGTCATCAAGTTTTTGACACCTTGCTAGGCGACTGGTGGTACTTGGATGTTGCCATATCCTAAAAGTGGTACAATGGGTGAAAAGGTTGAAATGCTCTGCATTAATACATACTCTGTTCGAAGGATGGTGAATGTCCATCTGAGTCATCTCTAGGGGATGATAATGATCCATTGGAAGGCATCTGAGGAAACTCACCTAGCCAAAAGAAAGCCTCAATGTTAGAATTTATCAAATTAGATCCCAGAGAGCAGAAAAAGAAAATCACAAAGATGTCAACGATAGTCCTATCCAGAGGTCAACATGTTGCACCACAAAAAAAAGGGAGAGCTTGACCATCACACCACAATGAGTGGTTCCTGCACCACACCTTGCAAGAATTGCCCCCAAATGTTCAAGCTTGGATTGTTGAGATTTCCCATAAGGAAAACTCTGTAGTTTGAGAGCATCTTGGAAACTTTGGAAAATCTAGAGCAGGGGTAGGCAACCTTGGCTCTTTTATGACTCGTGGACTTCAACTCCCAGAATTCCTGAGCCAGCCAAGCTGGCTCAGGAATTCTGGGAGTTGAAGTCCACGAGTCATAAAAGAGCCAAGGTTGCCTACCCCTGATCTAGAGAGTTGGAATATGTAGAATCTGGCTGAATTTCCAGATTTTGTCTCAACTACAAACGTTATTGGTGATTTTAGGTCAAATGTCCTCTTTGAGTATAGCCTACCTTCCAGATGTCAACTCAAAATGTTTTCTTCAGCGACTGAAAGGTAGAAACAAATTGCTTTTCTAAAGCTCCCTGAATTTAATTATTCTTTCCATAGCTGCCAACATGGGAATGGGTGCAAGTATAAATTGAATGAATGAATGAATAAATTGAATGAAAGAATGAATGAATGAATGAATGAATGAATGAGAAGGAATGGATATATTGATACAGGTAGATAAGAGCATCTTGTTATATTATTTTCAGCTCAGATCCTAATGGAACTTGCACAATCCATAGGTCACAAGATGGGAAGATACCTGGGATTGTGGCAGAGGATTCCAGACTGTCCTTGGTCTCTGTGATGGCTGTTGGCCATGATTTGTGTCCCTGGTGACTCCGCCCACCTAAGGAGCCAATGACAAGACAGATTTCATTCCTGCGTGCGCAGAGTGAGATAAGAGGTTGGGCCTTTGCAATGCTGACCGGTCCTTTGAAACGGAAAAGCGTCTGCCAATCAGGCACTTTCCCAATATAGCTGGGACTTGATTAGTGCAGATAATCTCATGAAGTGGTTGCATTATTCTGATTCGCACTACAGATAGTCCTTGACTTATGACCACAATTGAGCCCAAAATTTCCATTGATAAGCAAGACAGATCTTAAGTGAGTTTTTGTCCCATTTTTATCACCTTTTTGCCACGGTTGTTAAGCAAATCACTGCAGTTGTTAAGAGAATTTGCAGTCATTAAGTGAACTTGGCTTCGTCCAGATTGTAAAATTGGGCACAACTCACCTAACAACCAGCTTGCTTAGTAATGGAAATTTAGGCTGTAATTGTAGTCGTAAGATGAGGACTACTTGATAGCAGTGTTCCAATATCTCAGGGGCTGCCACAAAGAAGAGGGAGTCAAGCTATTCCCCAAAGCACCTGAAGGCAGGACAAGAAGCAACGGATGGAAACTAATGAAGGAGAGAAGCAACCTAGAACTAAGGAGAAACTTCCTGACAGTTAGAACAATTAACCAGTGGAACAACCTGCCTCCAGATGCTATGAATGCTCCAACACTGGAAGCTTTTAAGAAGAGACTGGACAGCCATTTGTCTGAAATGGTATAGAGTTTCCTGCCTGAGCAGGGGGTTGGACTCGATGACCTCCAAGGTCCCTTCCAACTTTTATTGTTGTTGTTGTTGTGGATCATCGCACAGTCATCCAGATGTTTAGACTGGATTTGGCATTTTGTCTACCTATCGAGTCCTTACCCAGGACCTGGGATAGGCAGATGTGGAGGTTTGATGGTATTACAGATATCGTCGCAGGATGGAAGCAGTTCCTAGTAAGGTTGCCTTTTGCAATTGACTAATGGCGAATTTGTCAATGCCAATGGTGTTCAAGTGGTGCTCCAGTTGTTGTTGTTGGTTTTTTTTGTTTTTTATTATTATTATTATTATTATTATTATTATTATTATTATTATTATTATTATTATTATTATTATTATTATTATTATCGCCTTCCTTTCAAGCAGCTCCTATTGCTTTTGACCACTTCTGAGATCAAGCAAGAGCTTTCCCCTGCAATGAGTCATAATGCATCTTTGAGTCGGAGGAAAATCCCCAGCATGAAATGACTTGTTCCTGTTGCAGATCCCGTTTCTGTCTCCATGGTCTGTTTCTAGTCACTGCTGGTTTCTGAGTTTCCTCCAGGTGACAAAGAGTAACAGATGCTACTTGCCTTGAGGGTAATGCTGGCAGAATAAGATATGGGAGGAATACAGTTTGAACCCTGGAACAGCTAAAGATAATCTAAGCCAGGCTCAGTCATGAACTGGGGACAAGTTGACAGTGAACTCGTGGGAACCTGGCTGGAAAAAAAAAAGATGCTGCCAGAACACATTTGTGCTGTGGTTAGATCCTAGTCAGGGGCCTGGCCACATAACAGCAGGACCTGTTTTGAGAAGAGGTTTAGCCACGTATGTTATCTGGGTCTGTCTCCTTCCAGACCCAATCCAAGCAACTTATGCAGAGACACAAGAAGGCCAGTTACAACCCTTTGAATGTCTATGAAGATTCTCAGTCATCCAGGTCATGGTTGTCCCACAAAACACAACTGGACTTCCTTTGTTTTTGAACAAGAACAACAACAAAAACAAAGAAAGTCTAGTTGCCTTTTGAAAAAGCACCTTTGGGACAACCCTTTGAAGACATATATAGATTAAATAAATGAATGCATACATTTAGCAATGGACTTCTTTCATTTTTTTTTTAATTTGCATGATGAAGTGAGGAATGGACCTCAAGACTTAAAAAGGGTTGGGCAGGCCTTTGTCTGGGGTGGTATGGACAGGGGATTGGACTAGAAGATCCTCAGGGTCCCTTCTAACCCTGTGAGTCTACAGTTCTAAGACATGGGAACACTGAAATGGTCTCTCTAATGCAGCCTCTGATGTTTAGGAGCAAATTTATAAATACCTTCCCAGTGCATGAAGGGGCCCTGTGTTTTTTCCTAGTACTTCTTCCCACCACTTGTTTTTTAAAACAATAGAATAGAGTAGAGTAGAGTAGAGTAGAGTAGAATAGAATAGAATAGAATAGAATAGAATAGAATAGAATAGAATAGAATAGAATAGTTGGAAGGGACCTTGGAGGTCTTCTAGTCCAACCGCCTGCTCAGGAAGGAAACCCTATACCATTTCAGACAAATGGTTGTCCAGTCTCTTCTTAAAAACGTCCAGGCAGTTAAAAACATAGGCAGGCTGTTCCACTGGTTAATTGTTCTAATTATCAGGAAATTTCTTCTCAGTTCTAGGTTGCTTCTCTCCCTTGATTAGTTTCCATCCATTGCTTCTTGTCCTGCCCTCAAGTGCTTTGGAGAATAGCTTGACTCCCTCTTCTTTGTGGCAGCCCCTCAGATATTGGAACACTTCTATCATGTCACCCCAAGTCCTTCTTTTCATTAGACTAGACCAGTGGTGGTGAACCTATGGCACTGGTGCCAGAAGCGGCACTCGGAGCCCTCTCTGTGGGCACACGTGCCGTTGCCCAAGCCTTGCCTCCCCCCGCGACCCCCTCACCAGCAGCCCCTCTGGAGGAGAGTCGCCCCTGAGCGTGGCCCATACGGAGCAGGGCAGCCAAGGACATGGCAGCCAGGCAGCATAGGCAAGACTCTGCCCTCATGCCCCATCCCGCACAGTTGATGCTGCAGGGTGCGGGCAGAGGGCATGGCCTCCATGACACTGCTGGGCTGCCTGGGCGATCTGCGGCGGGCCCTGGAGGCGAGCAGGCAGGGTGGGGGCAGGGCAGGGGGTGGAGCGGGGGCGGGGCCAGTTTTTGGGCACTCGGTCTCTAAAAGGTTCGGCATCACTGGACTAGACATACCCAATTCCAGCAACCGTTCTTTGTATGTTTTCATCTCCAGTCCCCTGATCATCCTTGTTGCTCTTCTCTGCACTCTTTCTAGAGTCTCATCTTTTTTACATTGTGGTGATCAAAACTGGATTTGGGATTCCAAGTATCGCCTTACCAAGGCATTGTAAAGTGATATTAACACTTCGTGTGACCTTGACTCTATCCCTTTGTTAATGCAGCCTAGAACTGTGTTGGCTTTTTTTGGCAGCTGCAGCACACGGCTGGCTCACATTTAAGTGATCGTCTACTACAGCGGTTCTCAACCTATGGGTCGCGACCCCATTTGGGGTCGATCGACCATTTCACGGGGGTCGCCAAGCAAGGCTGTCCACCATTTTTTTTCCCCTTTTCCGGCGGGTGCCTTACCTCCCTTGACCTGGGCCAGCTGGTGGTCGGCCTGCTCCGTCTCTGCCGCTTGCCAGCTACGCCTCGGCCGGCGCAGGGGGCAGAACCACGCATGCGCGGCACTCCCGGGCAGGGAAAGTCCTTGACTTACGACCGGTTGGGTAGTCCTCGACTTACGACTGGTTTAGTCCTCGACGTACGACCGGTTTAGTCCTCGACCTACGACCGGTTTAGTCCTCGACTTACGACCGGTTGGGGGTCGCGGCATTAAAAAGGTTGAGAACCACTGGTCTACTAGGACTCCGCGATCCCTCTCACAGTTACTACTATTGAGTGAGGTACCACCTATACTGTACTTGTGCATTTGGGTTTTTTTGCCTAAATGTATGAGACACATGTCTTTTGCTATCTGAGACATATGAATCACGACGCCCCCCCTAAAAGTAATTAGAATCAAGCAACATTTAAATATTATAAATGAATAAATAAATAAATAAATAAATAAATCACACACACACACACACACACACACACATGTTTTGCATTTGGGAGCAGATTCATACTAAGTTTCCTGGCAATTCTGCAAGGGAGGAATTAGAATGGTGCACCTGGAAGCCCATGCTACAAAACCGAGGGCTCATATATGGGGCGGAAATCCAGCTCCAGCAGAAAAATTAGGCTGTCTCCTCACCTCTTTTTTCAAGCTGGGTGGGACGGTTCTGTGGCTCTCGACCTGCGGCTGTGTCACCCTCGGAGGCTGCTCCATCTTTACTGGAGGTGTCAGAGCTACTTGTTCCTGTGGATTCAGTAATACCGTAGCTGCCTTTTCTTGCCCGAGTCACCGGAGAGCTATTGAAGAGGGAATACAGGTAGTCCTTGACTTATAACTGCTCGCTTAATAACCATTCAAAGTTACACTGGACACCCCCCCCAAGGGAACCTAGAACCCAGATTCAAACGTCTGATGGCTGCCTGCCCCTGTGTTCATGTGACCACATCTTTGACACTTGGTGATTGGTCTGCATTTATGGCTGTTTGCAGTGCCTTATGGTCACATGACCACAAATTTCAACATCTTTTTGCTGAAAGATGTTGTTTATTTCCAGTTTCCAACAAAAAACCCCCATCCATTGTAGACATGGGCAATCCTTGACTTACAACCATTAGTTTTGTCACCAATCAATATTACAACAGAACAGAAAAATGTGACTTATGACCAGTTTTTTAAACTTACGACCGTTGCAGCGTCCTCATGATCAAAATTCGGCCATTTGGCAACTGGCATGTACTTATGACAGTTGTAGTGCCTAGGGTTCTGTGATCACCCTTTGTGACCTTCCCAGCTGGCTTCCAACAAGCAAAGTCAATGGGGGAAGCCAGATTCGCTTAACGACCACACAATTCATTTAACAACTGCAATGATCCACTTAACTGTGAGAAAAAGGTTGTAAAATGGGGCAATGCTCAATAACTGCCCTGCTTAGCAACAGAAATTTTGTGCCCAACTGTGGTCTTAAGTCGAGGACTGCCTGTAATGGGTATGCTTAACGGCCACGGTGTTTATTTAAGGACGGCCGCATTTGCTTTATGACCACCATGCTTGCTTAATGACCTCAAAAACTGCTGTAAAATTGGGTACCTCAGCTAATGATCACGCGGCTACCTCAGCTAACGACTGTCATGACACACTGTCATTGCTGTATTGCAAAAAAGTTGGAAGGAAGCAAAGGCAGCGCCTTGACGAGACATCCAATCAATCCAGCTTTAACAAACCCATCTGTTAGCAACCATTCTCGGATCTAGGATTGTCTGGCCAGGTGAGGTCAGAATAATAAATTGGATGTGACCAGGACAAAACCTTTGAGTCAGTTGAAGTTAAACTCTAGAGCAGGGGTCCTCAAACTTGGCCACTTTAAGACTTGTGGACTTCAACTCCCAGAATTCCCCAGCCAGCCATGCTGGCTGGGGAATTCTGGGAGTTGAAGTCCACAAGTCTTAAAGTGGCCAAGTTTGAAGATCCCTGCTCTAGAAGCACAGTTAACATACTTAGGGGTATTTTAAATCTGGTTTTTTAAATAATTTTAAAAAAGAAAGGCCTATATTAATATTTTATTTTAACCACATTTTAAATTTGTATATTGTATTGTTATTCTGTTTTAAATTGGCTGTAAGCCGCCCTGAGTCCTCTAGGAGAAGGGCGGGATATAAATGCGATTAATAAATAAATAATAAATAATAAATAAATAAATTATAGGGACCATACATTCTTTATTTCAAGGAACAATCTCTTATTTCAGAAAGCGGTCCTTTAGATTAATGTATTTTTCAAAAATTCACTTTTGTCTTTTTTTTTTTTTTTGGGACATTTAGCTTTTTACTGTAGAAACAGCTTCACCGTAGAAAAGGCAGCCTTGCACAATCATGTGAACATATGGAAATTGAATGATCTTTCTATTTACACATCCTAACCGACTGTAGATGCTTTTATTACAGTATGCATTTCTGTAAAGCTTTTCTTGGTTTCGCTCTTGAATTTTCCTTTGTTAAGCAAAGGTATAAACAATGACTTTTTTTTTATCCTTATCGACTTCTTTCAGATTTGCCCCTTTCTCAAGCTTGTCCTTTATTTTTTCCCCAAAAAATGAGCACCGTAATTATAGCCCATATAACTAATCATTTACTATTTCTGCCATATTAAATATTATTAATACCTTGACAATTTTTGCAAGGAATCTGGAAACTAATAGCCAGTTCACCTCTATATGCTATATAGGAATAATTGGGGGGTGGGGGGTCAGTAGGAAGCAGTCCTGATGTCAGGGAGGTTGGTTGGCAAACAGTTTGAAGGGATAACTTGGGCTTCAATTCCCATAATTCTTTGGGCATGCCATTTGGAATTCTGGGAGTTGTGGTCTCAATACATCTAGGGAAGGCTGATCAAAATAGAGGCCACCAGGACTGATCAGGATTTGTCAGGAGCATTAGCATTAGTGCCAAACCCTACCAGTTGTTGGTTGACACGTAGGGCTCAAAATCATATTGTGTCTCAGGTTCGTCGCCCCGCTGCAACCGCTTGACGTGAGAGGCATACTGTTGCCCAGGGTCATAGAGTTTGCTGCTCTCGCACAATGTCTGAAAATAGACAGGCAGTGGGGCTGTCTGCATATGCATGATTTGATAGAAGGAAATGGTAGCCTGGAATCGGGAAGTCAACAAAAAGAGAAAAGGAGAGAAACATGTCAGAGAAAAGGATGAAATTATATGAATAAAGTCATGGGGAAAACCTATCTATGTAGTTGCTAAGAGTCAACCCCAACTTGAGGGCATATTATCAGTCATCAATATGAATAAAAGATCTACAGTGCAGGCACGAAGGATCTTTATCAAAAGATCAAAACCCGCTACCAGAATTTTGCACAAAAATCTTTATGACAATCTTAGCTCCCACTTGGACACAAACTAAGTTTCTATAGTAATAATAATAATAATAATAATAATAATAATAATAATAATAATAATAATAATAATAATAATAATAGTTGGAAGGGACCTTGGAGGTCATCTAGTCCAACCCCCTGCTCAGGCAGGAAATCCTATGCCATTTCAGACAAATGGCTGTCCAGTCTCTTCTTAAAAACTTCCAGTGTTGGAGCATTCACTGCTTCTGGAGGCAGGTTGTTCCACTGATTAATTGTTCTAACTGTCAGGAAGTTTCTCCTTAGTTCTAGGTTGCTTCTCTCCTTGCTTAGTTTCCATCCGTTGCTTCTTGTCCTGCCTTCAGGCGCTTTGGAGAATAGCTTGACTCCCTCTTCTTTGGGGCAGCCCCTGAGATATTGGAACACTGCTATCATGTCCCCCCTCCTCCTTCTCTTCGTTAAACTAGACATATCCAAAGCAAGCTTGCTTGCAGCTTCTCTTTAAGGACCAAAGCGCTGATCTACGTTGGTGGGATGGCCCAGCCAAACTCACCGACTTTATGACCTGGTCGCTCTGCTTGACCACCTCATGGAGCTGCCGAAGCGCTGTCACTTTGGTGTCCTCCAACTCCTGCTTCTGTGTGTTGGCATCTGCGATGCAGGTCCGGTATGTTGCCATGGCTTCTTCGGCCTGAAATGGCAGACAGGCAGAATTAGCAAGGGCCGCGGTAACAAGGATAGATGGATTCAGCATTAAACTCCCCCACAAGGACATAATTTTTGTGCCTCAGGAAGTACAGTGTTCAAAAAGGTGGAATTAGATGGCGTTTCACCCAAGAACCTGTTTTAATTAGTTTCTCCCTTTCATGTATGGAATTTGAGAGTAAGGTGAAAGTTATTTCTAAATGGTTTCTATTTTGCAGATATGAACAGTTACAAAACACTTGGAAGGCTAGTTGGTGAAGCTGATGCTCTTTATCCCCTATGCCTCCTCAAGATGTTCCTTAATTTATCTCTTGGGAGGGTAGAAGACTGATATACTTCCAAATAATTATAGGGGGCATACATCCCCTTATACTTTTTAATTTCTAAGAAAGTCTCTTGGTGCAAATGTATCATTGGAAATAAGGATTATCTTTTAAGACCAAAGCTTGTTTTAATAAACTTAGTATACTATATTAAATTATTAAAGTAAGAGGAAGTTGGTGTCTTCTAAGCATCAAGATAGACAGACAGATATAAGAGGAAGTATGTCTGGTGTGCATCAAAATAGCCTGAAGCTTGCTTCGTTATATACCTATACATAAAATAAGAGGAAGTATGATGTCTGCTGAGTAGCAAGATGCTAGTCCTTTAAAAGTAAGTTTTCATATTGAAACTATAGAGTTTATCATCAGATTACACTGGGGAGGAAGTCCCCATAACAGGAGTGTCCAAACTTGGCAACTTTAAGACCTGTGGACTTCAACTTCCAGAATTCCCCAGTCTTTTGCAGTTGCTGTTTGCACTTTATAAGCTGGAAAGTCACAGTTTTTGAAGCAGGGATATCCACAGAGTAGTGATAATAAAATGCCAAGTCGGTTGCCAGGGTGGTGTGATCAAACACGAGCCTGTTTTATGTGTGGTGATGTGCATTAAAACAGGAGGAGCTTTGACCACACTGCCATGGCTGCCACACCCTGTGGGTGCCCCTGCTTTGAAGACTCTTAAACATGTCACTAGAAGGCAAAATCATGAAGCTGTGTTTCACTTACTTTGGCCGTGTCATGCGGGGGCATTCACTGGAGAGAAAGCACTTATATTTGGAAGAGTTAGCGGTAAAAGGAAACCAGTATCAAAGAACAGAGTGCATGGATACTATCAGAGCTGACACCGGCCAACGCATCGAGAAACTCAAAGAAACAGTGCAAGATGGGAAGAGGTGGAGAGACCTGGCCCACAGAATCGCCAAGAGTCGGACTCGACTGAATGGATAATATCACCATCAAGAAATCAAGAGAGAACAAAACATGATTCCAAGTGCAAGGTCAGTGCCAAACCAAGTTCACAACAATCCACCCCAAATCACTCCCACATTCCAGGTTCCGTTGGACTTCGTCTGCCCACCTTGTTCCTGGCTTCTTCTTCCAGCCGTCGCTTCTTGTCCAAGTTCTTCAAGGTGGCGGAGCTGTTGCTAGACACCAGCTGATCCTCTTCCGCTTTGGCCATCACATGCCAGGCCTTTTCACACTCCTCCGAGCGCTGCATGTACATCTGCTTGGCCTTGCGCAAGTTGTTCTCGGCTTCTTGCTGGAGGGGGAAATGCAAAGCATCATCATCCCACTTGGTTGCAAACATTTCATTACCAAACTAAGTAACATCATCAGTGCAAGTGCATAAAGATAGACAGACAGACAGATATAAGAGGAAGTGTGTCTGGTGTGCATCAAGATAGACTGAAGCTTGCTTTGGTATATATATATACCTTAAAAACAGTACTAAATATAGTACTAAATAGTACAGTACTAAAAATAGAAGGGTGATTCCTGGGTATACTGCCTCCAGAAGCGGTGAATGCTCCAACACTGGAAGTTTTTAAGAAGAGACTGGACAGCCATTTGTCTGAAATGGTATAGGGTTTCCTGCCTGAGCAGGGGGTTGGACTAGATGACCTCCAAGATCCCTTCCAACTTTATTATTATTATTGTTGTTGTTGTTGTTATTGTTATTAATACTATTGTTATTATTATTATAGGTCATTTGCAAGGTAGGAATGAAGCTAACGTAGGGACACACACAAAAAGGGGGGAGGGGAGGAAAGTGAGCAACAAGGCGTATGAGGATAGGAGTAGCGAGGATAAACTGGCTAATGATACGGGAACTGCGACCGGAACATCGATTGGCCGACGGAGTCCCGTGACGGCGTTCGTGGGTCGGGTGCAAAAATAACTTGGTCTTGTATAAATAAGCGCTCCCATCGACCTGGATTGATCCCTGATGATGCTGGCAGTGGCCAGCGAAAGCTAGGATTTTAACTTATAAAAACTTTTATAGTTTTTTAAACTTTTCCTGGTGTTCGCGCTTTTTATTTCTCGTCATATATATTATACATATACACAAAATTAAGAGGAAGTATGATGTCTGCTGAGCAGCAAAATGCTAGTCCTTTAAAAGTAAGTTTTTATATTGATACTCTAGGGTTTATCAACAGATTACACTGGGGAGGAAGTACCTATAACAGGAGTGTCCAAACGTGGCAACTTTTAAGACCTGTGGACTTCAACTCCCAGAACCATGTGCAACTGGTGGCCTTTGAAGAAAACCTGCTTGTAATGGAATGTGTGGATAGCTTGGGGAAAGAGGGGAAGAGATGCTGCCTGGGAAATAATAAGAGAAGAGAGGCAGGAGCCCCCAGTGGCTTAAGGGCTAGAGAAAGAAACTTAGGAAGGACCCACCTAATGGATCAAGCAGTTACAAGTAGTGGAAGGAAGTTTATTGCCTTTCAGACTTGCAAGATTCTGTCAATGTAGCTTTACAATAAAGTAGAATTAGCTCATCTACAGGTGGTCCTTGACTTATGACCAAAATTTCTGTTGCTAAGCAAGACAGTTATTAAGTGAATTTTGCTCCATTTGAGAACCTTTCTTGCTACTGCAGCTGTTAAGTTAATAACATGGTTCTTAAATGAACCTGGTTTCCCTGTAGACTTTGACTGTCAGAAGGCCACAAAAGGTGGCCACGTGATTCTGGGACACTGAAACCATCATAAATACATGCCAATCGCCAAGCATCCGAATTTTGATCAGGTGATCATGGGGATACGGCAATGGTCTTAAGTGTGAAAAACAGTCATAAATCACTTATTTCAGTGCCGTTGTAACTTCAAACAGTCACTAAACAAATGATTGTAAGTCGAGAACTACCTGTAGCCATGTCTCCTGTCTGGTTTACCTCAGAGGGCTGACCCTCCCCAATTCCTCCCACTACAATAATTCTTTCTTATTGGTTTATTTACTGGGGTTTCTTTGCTGTTTCAGTCCAATATCACAGTTGAATCTTGTATGTCTACATTTGGTTTTGTTCAGTTTTGGCAGACCAGTATACCGCTAGACTTCACAATTGGGACCGGCAACTCCACTGCGGTCAATAAGTGGAAAATCAACAAGCTTATGATGTCACTTCTCATTTGGTCATTAAACAAATCACCACGGTCGCCAAGCAAAACTTCATGGGATCGCAGCTTATCATTTTGTTGCCAGGTTTTCCATTAACTCTGCTTGTCACAAGCCAGTTGTGAAGCTTGTAATGGAATGTGTGGATAGCCTTGGGGAAAGAGGGGAAGAGATGCTGCTTGGGAAATAATAAGAGAAGATAATAATGATGATTAGGTGACAATGATTGGTCACCAAGCTATTTTTTTAAATTTTTCCAATATGGAAAATGTGTGGCATTACGGTACCAACTGTAATACCAGTTGCTATCTCCTCACCTCCACTGTTTATTTCTAATTTTTTAAAAATCTGTGGGTGGGTGTATTTATTTGTTAAATGGCCAAAATTCTATGAGCAGGAATGTCTGCAGGTTGTGGTAAAAAAAAGTCATGACGGTGGACATGAGCATCGTGACTTCTTTGACCAGATCCTGAGGAGACCCCTGCAAACACACCTGAGAGGTATGAAACTGTTATAACCTCCGGGATGGGCAAACCCAGGACCCTGCAGTGCTCCCCAAGAACATCTCACCAGCTTCCTCTGGGCTCGGTGCCACTGCTCCTTAATCTCCTTCCGCCGCTTTTCATGCTCCAGGCGCCTCAGGGACAGGGGCTGAGGAAGAAAAAGAAGGCTGGGTCAGTCTGTTTGCTAGAGGAAAGAAAACGGTTACATTCAGAAGATCTGGACAGCCCACGAACTAAGGCCAAAGGCCAAGCCCTAACCCTGACCTATAATAGTAATAATAATAATAATAATAATAATAATAATAATAATAATAATAATACCATCAAACATCCACATCTGCCTATCCCAGGTCCTGGGTAAGGACTCGATAGGTAGACAAAATGCCAAATCCAGTCTGAACATCTGGCTGACTGTGCGATGATCCATAATAATAATAATAATAATAATAATAATAATAATAATAATAATAATAATAATAATAATAAAGTTGGAAGGGACCTTGGAGGTCATCTAGTCCAACCCCTTGCTCAGGCAGGAAACCCTATACCATTTCGGACAAATGGCTGTCCAGTCCCTTCTTAAAAACTTCCAGTGTTGGAGCATTCACCGCTTCTGGAGGCAGGCTGTTCCACTGATTAATTGTTCTAACTATCAGGAAGTTTCTCCTTAGTTCTAGGTTGCTTCTCTCTTTGGTTAGTTTCCATCCGTTGCTTCTTGTCCTGCCTTCAGGCGCTTTGGAGAATAGCTTGACTCCCTCTTCTTTGTGGCAGCCCCTGAGATATTGGAACACTGCTATCATGTCCCCCCTCGTCCTTCTCTTCATTAAACTAGACATACCCAATTCCAGAAGCCGTTCCTTGTATGTTTTAGCCTCCAGTCCCCTGATCATCCTTGTTGCTCTTCTCTGTACTCTTTCTAGAGTCTCAACCACTTTTTTACATCGTGGTGACCAAAACTGGATACAGTATTCCAAGTGTGGCCTTACCAAGGCATTGTAAAGTAGTATTAACACTTCACGTGATCTTGATTCTATCTCTCTGTTAATGCAGCCTAGCACTGTGTTGGCCTTTTTGGCAGCTGCAGCACACTGCTGGCTCATATTTAGGTGATTGTCCACTAGGACTCCGAGGTCCCTCTCACAGTTACTACTATTGAGCAAGGTACCCCCTATACTATACCTGTACATAATCTGTACCTGTACCTAACCTCAAAGCACTCCTGTTTGGACTCAGAGAAGCTATGGGCCAAGACTTAGAGTTGGCTGCCCTGTCTGTGTTGCTTACAGAATCACCAAACTGCACAAAAATCTGAGATTAACGCCAAGATTAACATTAGACTAACAATCAAGAAGCAAACAACACCCTGATCTCTACCCTGTTTTCCGGCCATTAATAAATTACATCCCATATATGAAATTATTCTATGTCTTCTTTTTCTTTATCCTTCAGTATAAATCTGTCCATTTCTGCACAGTCCAGTGTGTATTATTAAGTGAGGCAAATGGACCCAAACAACACATTGTTTACTAAGCACTTATGATTTGTAAACATGAAAAACTAATAAAATATTTTTTTTTAAAAAAAGAAGCGAACAATAACCCAGTCAAGGAAACTGCCAAGCAAGCTAACAGTAAAATAACAGTCCAATCAAAGAACCACCAAGACCGCTCTTACCAACGCTGACATGGGAACAAACCCCTACTAGCCCTAATGATGTTACTTAGTTTGGTAATGAAATGTCTGCAAGAAAACAACCAAACTCGGAGAGCACCAAGGGCCCCACAGCACAAACATTTAGCAGCAAAATTCAGCAGCTTTCAGTGATGCAATGCTTTCTACTTCTCAATTTTAAAGAGAGAGAGAGAGAGGGGGGGGTAGGTTTAGATACAATCCCCTCCCTCAAACCTCAGAGGGGAGGCCTTTTTGCTCCTTCTCTGTGGATATTATTATTAGCACTGCTATTAACTTAATCCTGTAGATCGGGGTCTCCGAACTTGGCAACTTTAAGTCTTGCGGACTTCAGCTCCCAGAATTCCACAGCTGGCTGAGGAATTCTGGGAATTGAAGTCCACAAGTTTTAAAGTTGCCGAGTTTGGAGACCCCTGGTTTAGAGATGGTCTTCTACAGAGGTAGGCTAATGTTATTGATTTGGACACTGCTTATTATTTACTGGTTGAATGTATGTCCTGCCATTTCTTCAGGTGTCCCAGGTGGCAATTTTGCCCTACCTTCTTCTACTTAGAATCTTTCTATGATTCTATTATTTCCCTCACAACAACCCTGTGAGGTAGGATGATCAAGAGTCATTGGTTCAACGGCCCCCAGGGAGCTTCTGAAGTGGAGGGGAGATTGGAAGCTGGGGCTCCCCAGGAGCAGTTTAACACCATAACTACAACTACAGGTAGTCCTCGACTTACAACCATTGTTTTAGTGACCGTTCAAAGTTACGATGAGACTGAAAAAAGTGACGTATGACTGTTTTTCGCACTTCCAACCGTTGCAGCATCCCCACGGTCACACGATCAAAATTCGGATACTTGGCTGATTCATATTTCTGACGGTTTGCAGTGTCCCGGGGTCATGTGACCAGCTTTTGCGACCTTCTGACAAGCAAAGTCAATGGGGAATCCAGATTCACTTAACAACCGTGTTACTCACTGAACAACTGCAGTGATTCACTTAACCACTGTGGTAAGAAAGGTCATAAGATGGGGCAAAATTCATTTAGCTCGCTTAGCCACAGAAATTTTGGGCTCAGTTATGTATAGCATGTATAGCATGCTCTGTGAACTTGGAAAATAAAAGAAGGAAACACACACACACACACACACACAATCTTGCCACTGTCTTCTTTTTACCTGCATATATGTTTCAGTTCGCAAGGTGGTGGCCGCCTGCAGGGAGCTGAGACTGTACTCCATGTCTTGCTCCAGGGACAGCGAGTAGATGGAGAGGAACGGCATGGAGGGCTGAGAAGCAAACCACAGGAATTCATTCATACCCAGAGGAAAAGCAGCTCAAGCACTCTGGATAACTGCAATGGGCTCTACATGGGGCTGCCCTTGGGAGGGCACTTGGAAGCGTCAACTCCTGCAAAATGCAGTTACCCCAGACCAGGGGTAGGCAACCTTGGCTCATTTATGACTCGTGGACTTCAACTCCCAGAATTCCTGAGCCAGCATGGCACAGCTTGGAAACCTCTCCCTTTCCCCTCAGCATGGCTGACTCAGGAATTCTGGGAGTTGAAGTCCACGAGTCATAAAAGAGCCAAGGTTGACTACCCCTGCCCCAGAGCATGAGACACCCCTGCTTTGTGAGTTGCAAAAGTGGCAAAGGGCGCAATTCAAGATGCTGATTGTCACCTTTAAAGCCCTTCGTGGCTTGTGACTGGGTTACCTGAGGGACTGCTTTCTCCCCGTTGTTTCTATCCAATCTGGCCCAGCAGGATGGGCATGCTCAGTCAAGGAAAGTCAGCTGGCACTACTGTACAGGCGTCCCTTTTCTGCCATAGCCCCTGCCCTCTGGAGCCTTTTCCCTCTGGAGATTAGGATGGCCTCAATCCTGTTGGCCTTTCGTAAAGCCTCGAAATTCTGTCTATGGAGATTCTCGATCATCCAAGCCATGGTTGTCCCAAAGGTGTTTTTCCAAAAGGCAACTGGACTCTCTTGTTTTTTTCCTTGAAATTGTTTCTCTTCTCATCCAAGAAATGTCTTCAGTTCTGACTGAATGGTGGGGAATTTATATTTATACTTTTTGCAGTTCCACAGCCATTTGCACTGTGATTCAGATGACTCTAAGGATATAGATAACCCGCCCCCAAATGGCCTCAACGACTCTCCGAGAGCTAATGATCAGATGACGACAAAGAATATTAATCCTTCCATTCCCCATCATTCACTTAGAACTTTTTGGATGAGTGAAACGTTTTCAAGGGGGAAAAAAACCCCCAGAAAATCCAGTTGCCTTTTGGAAAAGCACCTTTGGGACAATCTTGAAGATCTGGTTATGTACCCAGGCCTGGGATTCCGAGTATGTGAAAGGTCTTGTTTCCTGGTTATCTTAACATCTACAGATTATAGATTTTTATTGGCTGATATATGCATTTAATTTTTAGTATTGTGATTGTTATTCATTTTCTAATTGATTTTATGGGTGCCCACCACCCAGAGTCACTTGACTGAGATGGGCAGCCATACAAATTGAAAAAAATAAAATAAAATATGAAATAAAATAACCCCGGAGCAAGAAGGCAAGTTCCAGATTTCTACTCCCATCTTCTGCTCAGGAAATCTAAATAGAATGAATAAATGGTACATCATGCTCATGTCACTCTAGGCTTACCTCTTGAGTGATGGTGTGCTTGCAGGTATTCACTATCTTCTGAAGTCCTTTGGAAAACTCGATTTCTGAGGAGAGAAAAAAGGAGGAACAAAGAGGATAAAAAAATACTGATGCTGATCCAGTTTTGTTGACACTAAAAAGCAAACGTTCAGAGATTTCTGCCTTTATATTGAGAGTTGAAGAGCCATAGTTTTTCCCTCCAGATCTGTGGAGAATGAGATGGAGCTAGAAGTGGTCAATTTCTGAATGTACAGTTGATTGTCCATTAGTTTTTGTGGTAGAGAGAGATCCTAACTCAGGGCATGGAGCGCCTGATCCATATTGCAGAAGGCTCCGCATTCATTCTTGGGCATTTTAAGGTAGGCAGGGAAAGATTCAGGCCCCAAAATGCTAATGAATGATTGCTAGTGAAAGTAAACTGTAAACTGGTATAAGGTAGATCAGAGGTCCCCGACCTTTTGGGCACCAGGGGCCGGTTCCATAGACAGAGGTTTTTCAGCGGACCAGAGGGGGCATGGTTTTGTGTGCTGCCTGCATCCCGCAGATGGGGCTTTGCTTGTTTGTGCGGCCCAGTTGCTGGCATGCCACGGACCAGTGCTGATCCACGGACCAGGGGTTGGGGACCCCTGAGGTAGATAATAAAAACCAACTTTTTGTACACTGGAAGTTGCAGTATAGTTCCTGGAATGTTTATTTTAAACCGGTGTTTCTCAACCTTGGCCACTTTAAGAGGTGTGGACTGCAATTCCTAGAATTCCCCAGCCAGCATAGTATAACTGGCTGGGGAATTCTGGGAGTTGAAGTTCACACCTCTTAAAGTGGTCAAGGTTCAGAAACACTGGTTTAAAAGATTAGGTAGTGCTTTTGCACATTGTTTTTCTACACTAGAGGTCTCCACCACAGTCCTGGGATCTTTAATTTAAAAGACTATGTAGAGCAGGGGTGTCAAACTCAATTTCATTGAGGGCCGCATCAGCATTGCGGTTGTCCTCGGGGTGTGTGTGTGTGGCCACGGTGGGTGTGGCCTACTGGGTGGGCATGGCCAGCTCTTCATCGTTCACGTCAAGGGTGCCTGTGGGGGCCTGGGCAAGAGTGGGACAGATCTGAGGATCTCTGGCAGAAGGGGGTGTGACCAGGGCAAGCGTCAAGGCATGGTCCACTGGAAGAGCCTCACTGTTCCTCTCAGACCATGCAGTGGGGGGCTGGATGGTGCCGCGGGCTTCCTGGAGCCCTGGGCAGCAGAGGTCAAACGCCCAGCTCAGCCCTCAAACAGCCGCGGCACGAAGCCCAGCCCCACTTCCCCAAGGGGGCACCCAGCTGCACTTACCTCCTCCTCAAGGCTGCTGCATTTTTCAGTGCCATTTTATTTTTGAACAGGCACAAAAGAATGGTTGTAGGTCAAGGACTACCTGTACTGGTAATTATTAGGGTTTCTTTGATCATTGGTTTTATAAAACAACATAGAATAATGTAGATCATGACTGCAGACTTTGGTGCTATAGATACATATCCCCCAAAGGCTTAGCTATTCCCTTTCAGTCTCAGCTTACCCAGAACCGTCCTTTTCTCCATATAGTAGATAAGATCCTTCATGTATTTGGATATGTTCTTGGCATATTTGAGGGCAAAGTCTACCCCTCCATCACACTTCTGAAGGAGCACGTTCACCTCTTCAACTGACAGACGTGCTGCAGCGGATGAAAAGTAGCAAATGAGTTATCTTCATCTTATTCTTTTATTGCTAAAATCTAACTCTGTGCAGCCCTAAAAATAGGCTAATTTCATATACTCTTCAGCTAATGTCAAAAGCAACCCTTTCTGCATCGATAAACGAGTGATTACATCAACATTCTTTTTATGCAGTGGCTTCCAAATACCACAAACAGCATCGTAATGTAACAGTTACTTTTGTAATATTTAATTCCGTGAGCATTGATGGAGAGCAAGGAAGAAGAATGAAAACCTGAGCTCCAAATTGCAAAATATCAGAGAGAACTTTCTGCACAGAGTTGTAGCATTTCCTATCCAGCCTTAAGTCAAACCAAAACTATTGCAGCATGAAATTTGCTGCCTTCCAAGGTAATGGTTGATGTAGCCTCCCCAGCACATTTTAATAGCCTTTGGACAGTATCAGAGTAAGGATGAAAAGTTTACTTCAACACGGATATAGCCAAAGATAATTTAAACTCATGTTTCACTCATGAGCTAAAAATGAGATGAAACTGATGTCATGGAAACCAAGTAGTATTAAGAGATTGCCAGGACAAGTGTGTGCAACAGTTAGGAGCATGAGAAAGAGCTTCAATTATTTTTCTTCTAGGTGTGATGGGTAAGCAGTTGGAGAAAAAACATGCAACTTTCTTTTATATATGATAACAGCATGATGGAAAGATGCACAGATCCCCACAATGGAGTAATAGATGGTAAAATTAATGGAATTGGCTGTGATGGTGAAACTCATTACTTTAATTAAAGAAAAGACTGTCTTGTACTGTTTCTATCTGGAAACCACTGTTGGACTCTTTGCTTGAGACAGAAAGAAATGCTATATTAATTTTGGGATTTGACGATTAGACTTGCTTAGCCTTATAGAAATATTGGGTGTTACTCAATTTCAGATCAAAGGGTTAATGAATTTTATGTTCATAATTATTGAAAAAAAGCCAGAAGTTATTCTTTTTTATTTTCCTTTTCCCTCTTTCCCCCCTTTTTTTCTATTTTTTCTTTTTTTCTATTTTATTGTTTATAGAAATTTAATAACATGTATTTTTTTTAAAAAAGAGAAAGAATCGAAATGATATCCACATTATTTTTCTGTGTTTCATAAATGCAGAACTCTGCACAATTCATGAGAAGCCAGAACAAAAATCATAATAAAAATGGTTCTTACCTGAACTGAAATCTTCCCTACTATTCAGCACGTCTTCTGGTCCCAAACTTGTAATGCCCCCATATAGATTTTCCACCGACTACAAGTAAGAAAAAAAAAAGTTACTCTCAGAGCCTTTAAGGACCCTTCTATGATGTCAGCTTTCTTATTTTGTCCTTGCCAAAATTTGCCCTTTTTATGGAGACAATGCCTTAGTTCTCTTGTTCCATTAGAAAATGTCAAATGTAAAAAAGCGAATGAAATAAAAGGGCACGATTTCCTTGTTCGCCCTATCCTTCTGAAATAATTTATACTGAAAAATGTAAGGGACCCTAGAATCAGTACATTAGAAATTATACATTTCTTTATCTATATAAATAAAAATGTAAATGTTTGTTTGTTCAAAATCTTAAATCTCCTAAAGTTCTTCATCGATTGCTTTGAAATTTTGACACAACGTTGCATTCGAATACGCGCGTGTTTTTATAAACCTACTATTATATAGATGTCACACCTGTGACAGGTAAAAACATGATATATTACAAACGTGCGCTTTCTCTTTTCTTTCTTTTCCATTTAACCAGACTGAGCCACACCAACGCGTGGCTGGGTACAGCTAGTTTTTAATAAATTTATAGTGCCACATGCACGCTTTTCTGTAGCTTTTAGTTCCTTAGTCCCAGAACCAGTCCTTCACATCCCAAGTGGTTGCCATGGCAGTATTGCCAATTACAGAGCAAAACATTCTTGTAGGGCAGGGGTGTCTAACTTGCAACGACACGTGACGTGTCGTGACGTATTGCAACTTTTTTTCCATTACTAGCATGGTTTCGCCATGATGCATCCGGCCTGCAGGCCGGCAGTTTGTCACCCTTGTTGTAGGGCAAGACAGTTGAAAAATGATTAAGGGGGAGGCCCATACCAAGTCCATGGGCACCACTACAGAAACCTCTCTTCTAGAAAATTGAGTGGTGGATCTTCTTCCACTTGTCTTTTTTATTTGCAGGAGCTAGAGCACCAAACCTGGGACCTTTGGTTTGTACCTCAACCGGCAAGATCTATTCCCTGCCCTGAAGGTTGCTGATGGTGCTTAAGGAAAGGTGAAAAACAGAATAACAGAGTTGGAAGGGACCTTGGAGGTCTTCTAGTCCAACCCCCTGCTCAAGCAGGAAAGCTTACACCAGTGGTTCTCAACCTTTTTAATGCCGCGACCCCCAACCGGTCGTAAGTCGAGGACTAAACCGGTCGTAAGTCGAGGACTAAACCGGTCATAAGTTGAGGACTAAACCGGTCGTACGTCGAGGACTTTCCCTGCCCGGGAGCGCCGCGCATGCGTGATTCCGCCCCCTGCGCCGGCCGAGGCGTAGTTGGCAAGCGGCAGAGACGGAGCAGGCCGACCACCAGCTGGCCCAGCTCAAGGGGGGTAAGGCACCCGCCGGAAAAGGGGAAAAAAATGGCGGACAGCCTTGCTTGGCGACCCCCGTGAAATGGTCGATCGACCCCAAATGGGGTCGCGACCCATAGGTTGAGAACTGCTGGCTTACACCATTTCAGACCAATGCTTGTCCAATCTCTTCTTAAACACCTCCAGTGTTAGAGCTTTCACAACCTCTGGAGGTGGCACAAAACTGAATATCAGAATAAGCTTCCCCAGCTTTTCTTAATTTCTTCTGATGTCATCTCCATGCAGGTCTCCGATTCAGATTGCTGAGGGCCACTCTGGAAACCTCACCTCTACTCACCATATCCAATCATAGTCTCTCTGGATATACTATAACTTCCAGGCTGGTTAGGGATAATGGCAGTTGTATTCCAAAGCATCCAGTATGCATCTGGTTGGGAAGGATCCACACGCTGAGGACACCCAGACAGCTTAACACAAATTCATTTGCATGGTGCTAGCATTAGCTCAAAATGATTCTATAAAAATTCCACGGTATAACATCAATTCCCACACTATTCCAAGCCATGATGTACAGTGGTCTTCTTGTTTCACAACCTCTGGAGGTGGTTGCACAACAGATGCCTAGAGAGAGCCCAGGTGCCCCCTCATGATTTCAGAACTAAAACATTTAGTGTTTCTTAGGCCCTAAGAATCATTTGGAATTAGGATTCAAAGGGAAAATATTTTTTTCTTAGCTCAGCATCCTTTTCTTCTGAAACACCAGAGATTAAACCCGCTGCTTTCTCATTCAAAGCAGGATCGTGTCCCTTCTGGGCTCACCTGATTCAGATCAGAAAGAGGAATTGAAAGGATGGTACTACTGTCCACCTCTCCCATGAGGAATTCAGAGACACTGGAGTGGGGAAGAAAGCAAAACAGGAAAAAGGTTGATATAGCAGGAAATAGTTAGCAAGTTAGTAGCAGCAGCCAAAACTGAGCCTCAAAAAGAGGCTAATAGTGATATTTTTGCTTGCCAGTGTTGATTGCACAAACAACACTTGCTCCACTCTCATGATCTTTAACTGTTTGAAACTGCAACTCCCATCATCCCCTATCATAAATGGCTAATGGTTGGGGGTGATAGGAACTGCAGGTCCATTTATCAGGACCTTAGAGGTCTTTTAGTCCAACACCCTACATCAGTGGTGGCGAATCTATGGCACACGTGCCACAGGTGGCACTAGGAGCCCTCTCTGTGGGCACACGCGCCGTCACCCCAGCCCCGCCTCCTCCCATGGCCCCCTCCTCACCAGCAGCCCCCCCGGAGGAGAGTCACCCCCGGGCATGGCTCACTAGAAGCGGCGCAGCCAAGGACATGGTAGCCAGGCAGTGGGGACAAGACTGTCCTTGTGCCCCGTCATGCGTAGATGATGCTGCGGGGCACGGGTGGAGGGCATGGCCGCCATGGCGCTGCTGGGCCACTTGAGTGATCTGTGGCGGGCCGTGTAGGTGGTGGGTGGCCCAGTGGGCAGGGTGGAGCGGGGACGGGAGTGGGGGGCGGTTTTGGGGCACTCAGTTTCTAAAAGGTTCGCCATCACTGCCCTACATCAAACCTATTCTCTATTCAGCATTATAACCCAAATAGTCACTAAGAAAATGCTACTTGGAATTACACCATAGCAGTGAATGGAAAAAATCAGCACCTGAGGCCCATGGCATTACCATTTTAACTCTCACCAAACAGCATTTTTCTTATTACAAATATGTGCAAACATCATTTAGAGTAGTGAAACTGAACATTAATGTTTAAAATATTAGTTTTATCTCTTCAAGGGGAAAAAAGAAACTCATACTTAATGCTCTTTCTTTTAGAACAGAAGTCTCCAAACTTGGCCACTTTAAGATTTGTGGACTTCAGCCCCCAGAATTCCCTAACCATGCATGGCTGGCTAGGGAATTCTGGAAGTTGAAGTCCACAAATCTTAAAGTTGCCAAATTTGGAGACACCTGTTTTAGAATCACAAAAATAAGAAGTTGTCATTTAAATTCCTCACGACAGAAATCCAATTTAAATATCTCTGATATTGAGGTTTTTTTTCCCCTTTGGCATGGGTTGCTTTTCTATGATCATGATGTTGATGTAAATAGACGTTTAACAGGATTAAACTTCTTCTGAAGAAGTTATGAGGACATGCTATCATAGAGAACTTCAAGCAGATGCATTTCTTAGATATTTTAACACTGAATTGCTTAGTGCTTACATCCAACTAGGGCAGGGGTAGGCAACCTTGGCTCTTTTATGACTCGTGGACTTCAACTCCCAGAATTCCTGAGCCAGCATGACCACAAGTCATAAAAGAGCCAAGGTTGCCTACCCCAGAACTAGGGCCAGTGAAGAACAGCGCAAAGTGGGTGGTGTCCAAGGAGGCCCTAATTCTAGGATTCTGTGATTCTAAAATCTGTTAAGTAACCATCAAAAATTGCCTTTGAGCTGATCTTTTGCTTACGTGCTACTGAAGGAGACTGCAATCATCTCCACGGCCTTTTCAAATTCACGCTTTTCAGCTTCGTTGTTAGATTCATAGTGAAAGCCTAAAAAATGCAGATGGAAAGGAAACCATCACATTCTCCCCAACTCGTCAATCTTAAAATCCATCCTGCAGGATACACATCGAAACTGTAGAGCTGTAGCACACAATAAGACTGTACATTTTTTGTGTGTTTCCCAATGCTCCCCGGATGGGGGATGGGGTGGAAAGGAAAAGGAGCAAGATAACACTTCAGAGTAATACAATAAAATCATCTTTGGTGGGGAAAAAAAGAAAAAAAATTGGTTGCAAAGTAGAAGAAGAATGAAGATTTGATAAAACAAAAATATTATTTCTGTAAAGCAAAGAATAACTTGAATAAGGCCTAGTCAATTCAGTATAATAATTTAAACTAAAGCAGGCTGCTGTGCCTTTTGTTAAAAGCTTCTTTCGGTTTTCTCTAATTGCTTCCTCTTTATTGTGGCAGCAGTTCCTGAAACGGCCCCTTTATTTAGTTAGTTACCATTCTTTTACGCGGAAGAATAATTATTGCTTTCCTCTTGTTATTCTTTCATTTTGCAAAGCAACAACCTAACAGGAAATGTGCCACTCAAATACCTAACACAGGGGTAGGCAACCTGGGCTCTTTTATGACTCGTGGACTTCAACTCCCAGAATTCCTGAGCCAGCCATGCTGAGGGGAAAGGGAGAGGTTTCCAAGCTGAGCCATGCTGGCTCAGGAATTCTGGAAGTCCACGAGTCATAAAAGAGCCAAGGTTGCCTACTCCTGTGACCTAACACATGGGAACTGCACTGAAGGGACAATGATAGTGTTTCCTCGATTTACAACCATTCATTTAGTGACCCTTTGAAGTTACTGAAAACGTTGACTTCTGACTGGTCCTTGCACTTAACGACTGTCGCAGCATCCCCGTGAGCACCTGACCAAAATCCGGGCGCTTATCAACAATTGCCATCTGCAACCTTCCCAGCCAGCTTTCATCAAGCAATGGGGGAAGTCAATGGGGGCAGTCTGAGTTGCTTAATGACGGCATGATTCATTGTGATTCAAACTGCAGTGAACCACTTAACATCAGCACCCCCCCACAAAAAAAGTCGTAAAATCAGTCACAGTACATAACAACCACCTTGGTTAGCCATGGAAATTCAGGTCCCAACTGGGATCATAAGTCAAGGGCTACCTTTATGGGAGAATCTGTGGCAACAACTGCACCACACTGAAGAATTAATTATGCAAAACCAACTTTTGGTCTCAGAAAAAGGGTCCTAGGGTAGAACTGTCCTTGCATGAGTCATTCTTCGACACTCACCCTCACTGATAACCCCTGGGAAATTGAAGCCCACTTTAATTTTTGCTTGGGGGGGGATACACGATCACTCAATTGCCCGGCTTTTTCTTTCTCCAAGGATCACTATGGCAGATGCCGTGAACGTGAAGCTTCTCTCATTTTGTGGTTAAACTGTTCAGGGTACAGGAAACCAAGCCAGCAACAGAAGACAAACATTTTCGTTCTGCTGAACTGCAGAAGCTGCTATTCTCTGCCTACCACTTCCTCCTCAGCTACTCTGATATGATTCAGAGTATAGAAAAACTCAACTCCTTGGATGCCAAGATATTATAAAGTGAGGTGAGGCTCGAGATGAAAAAAGAAAGTGTCTCCGTTCTATAAATATTGGTATGTGCCATATTAAACAATTATTTTGGCAATTCACAGAATCCTTTTGAACAGGAGTGTCCAACCTTGGCCATTTTAAGATTTCTGGACTTCAGTTCCTCAAACTCTAGCATAGCTGGCTGGGGAATTCTGGGAGTTGAAGTCCACGAGTCTTAAAGCACTCCTGCTTTAGAGTCAGACTCTACTTCATAATTATCCAGATTATTCTGGGTACTGCAAGCTTGTCAGACCAGATTTGGTCCTTTTTTAAATATATACAGTACATTAAAGACTTTATTTCTGAAAAATCTGCACAACTCAGTTTGGTACAAGAAGGCATTCAACAATTATTAGTTCTTACTAATAGATTTGGGGTGGAGCATACATTTGAAGTTTCATGGTCAAAATGGCCTCTGGAGTCAATTCTGAACAGAAAAGACTTCTAAAAACATGGATAGATTTCCCTCCGATGAATAGGATGATTCTCACCCACCCCTGAAAATTGTAAATTTCAGTTTCCAATCTGCATCAACCCTGAGTGGATTCAGCCACACCTCTGGTTTAACTCATTTTGCACTATCTTTTAAATGGTGTGAATATTCACATTGAAATTGTACACAATTTTTCTCCATTTTCTCCAAGTTTTGATGCTTATTCTTTTCAAAGTTAGGCAAGTACGTAGTCAGAAAGGAAAGGATTAGGGACCTATTTATCAAACATGGTTCTGCCCATCTGGTCCAAATATCTAGGGAGGAGTCTGCTGGGAGCTCCACCATCCATGTGAGGACAAGGCTGTGGGTCAGATGGTATCAGACCCTACACTGTGGAATATACTGCTCTCAACCTCTCAAAGAAAATTGAGTTGACCTTTGATCGCACCTTTGGGTTACCATCTTGATAGTTTTTTACCATATTTTGCATATTTTACCCTGCCTAATTTCCGTGGGCCTTTTGACCCTAATGTTTTCGTTTTGAAGAACTTTTAAAAATTAATTTAGGGGATGTTTAATTTTTCTCCTACATCTTTATTGCGTAGTACTCAATTGTGCAGCTTGGGTAGCACACAAATACTGTAAAATTAATAAGCAACAAAAAGCAAGACGCATACTGGTAGTCCTCACTTTACCATTTGTTTAATGACTATTCAAAGTTACAACGGCATTGAAAAAGTGACTTATGACCAGTTGTCACACTTATGACTATTGCAGCATCCCCACAGTCACGTGATCAAACTTTGGGTGCTTGGCAACCGGAAGCATTCATGATTATTATTATTATTATTATTAATTGCATTTATATCCCGCCCTTCTCCTTTCGGACTCAGGGCGGCTGACAAATGATAAAAAGCTAACATATTACACCTAGTTAAAATTTAATTAAAATGAAATATTTGAGAATGTCCAATTTAAAAGTAATTAAAACCCCTATAAAATCCCCTAGGCCAGTCCCGCTTGCTGGAACAA